GGTTATCGTTTCTTGTTTGTAGAGCTAGAAAAACTCTTCTCTAATTATAAACACCCGTACCCTCGTTATACAACCTCCGTACATCCCTCACGCCCGTGCACCATAAATTCGCGTTGTTTGTGTGCCGTACCAAATCTCCCCAAAGGGGCAAGCTGTTTTGATTTTAACATTTTTTGTATACAAATGACTTCCTCCTCTATAAACGTCTGAATGTGCATCATTAAACTGCTGTTTTTTTTTTTTTCATTTTTGTTTTTTTTCGTTGTTCAAGCTTTGTATACTGCCTTTTCCCATCAAGCATTGTATAAAACAAAAATAAAGACACATAAAGTCTGTATAGGTAAAGTTAAAAAGTTGCTCGATTCTTTACGTGAACTGTTAAACGATTGTGGCTTTTCAATAATATAAGGAGATTTTTATTCATATATAATATTCAAAGCTAAAGTTTGGATATAACAGAAAAAAGCTGTTATTAATTAATGAAACATACATCTTCGTCACCATGTCCTTCAACTCTTCTAAGTTTGCAGACAAGGAAAATGCCTTGAAACAATCATTGGGATCAAATAAGTCCAATATAATTAATGAAAATACTTTTAAAGTTTCCAAACAACAAGTCCAAAACACTCAACAACAAAAACAACAAGGTCTTAATCAACAACCAAGACGTAATAGAGTACCATTAGGTGGGAAAGATCAAAATAAAGCATTCCCAACTCTACAGAGATCCCAATCGAGTATTAGTGGTACTAAAAATGAAAAGATTTTACCAAAAATCAATTCGAGTATTAAACAACAAAGACCAAAAGTACCATTTTTGCAAAAAGCACCTTTTTTACAAAAAGCAAATTCATCCTTAGGCTTTTCCCATAGTCAAAATAATAACGTTATTAATGAAAGACGTTCCCAAATAAAGAAGGCTAATCCATTACAGAATAATTTATTTAAATATGAAGGAACTCAAACATCATCAGATGAATTAGTTAAAAAATCAAATTTACCAGCCTTACCAAAGGTACAAAATCTTGAATCAACAATAACTTTCAACACTCAACGTCTTCATGCAAATAATATTATTAATCTTGATATTAATCAAAATAACGTGGATCCTGTGAAATCTAGTAAGCCATTGATTGAAAAAAAATTTGTTATTCCTCAACACTTGATTGATGATCCATTGAGTATTGAAATAACTCCAATCAAAGAAGATCCATTACCGGATAAACCATTCGATGTACCTCATTTCACTAAGGATGATTTAGAAATTTTTTCCAAAGGTTATTCGAAATTAACTAAAGATAATACTTATGAACACCCGGATATCAAACAAAATGAAATTAAATTAAATTTTCAAGATATCAATCTTGATAAAGAATTAAAATTTGATGATAACGATGATATTAAATCGATTGATTTAAACGATCAACCTCGTCCTGATAATGTTGGTTTGACTGTTGATGAATTAAATGATTTATTAGATTTTTAATGACCTCACTACTCTTATCGTACTGCTTTATACATGATACCGTCTATCGTTAATGATTACCCATATCTTCAATTCTCTGTGCTTTTTCTTTTTTTTGCTTTCTGTCTCGGTCTTTTAGTCTTTAGCTCTTCAGTTTTGTATTCTGATGATAGCTTTGTATGTACAATATTTATTTTATTTACTTATGTAAGATTTACGTCGATTTTAAAAATGAAAGAAAAATATATTTACAAGTTTATTGAGTTGTGCATTCCGCTTGAGGACCTGCGCCGGTATCCTTACCGTATCTATAAGCATCATCATCATCATTATCATCATTACTTTGGTATTCAGGTAAATTTTTTTCTTGAACAATTGAAAAATCAGTAACCATATCAATATTAGCTTCTGAAGAACTATTCTCATCAATTTTTTGTTTATTTATATCATTTTTATCTAATAATTCATTTGGAAATAAATTCTTAACCTTGAAAATATCATTTTTTTCTAAAAACCAATTATCTTGAGGAAATTCAATTTCCATTTCAATATATAAGTCACCATTTTTATTTGATGATCCAAACCAACTTTTGGATTGATTTTTAATTGGCATACCTTCATTTTTCAATTTAATATAATCACCAGGTCTAATAACTTTACCTTTTGGGATTGGAACACTTATCACTCTTCCATCTAAATGTTTAACCATATTTTTAGTAAACCCACATAATGCATCAGCTAATGGGATCTTATATTTAGTATATAAGTCATCACCTTTTCTTTCGAAAACTGCATGTTCTTGACAATCATATGTTAATCTGACATCACCGGTTTCTTTACCAGGATATTCATCAGATTCATGCTCTAATACTATAGTATCAGTACTTGGTGACCCTTTTAATATCTCAAACTCAAGGATTTTAGTTTGTTCAATTGTCTTATCACCTTCACAAGTTTTACATTTATCTTTAGTACGATAAATCTTACCAGTTCCTTTACAAGATGTACAATCAGTGAAATCTTGTGTAACTAAACCTGGACCAACCCTACGGATCTTTCTAACGGTACCTTCACCATCACATCGTCCACATTTTTTATGACTGCCTTCTTTTTAGCCCCAGTTCCTTGACAATGAGTACAAATGATATTTCTGGTAGATGTAATTTTTATGGTCTTCCCATTGTACAAATCCTCTAAAGTGATTTTCACATCAAGTTGGGCATCCTCGGTACGATTGACTTTAGGAGCACCTTGAGGTTGCCCTCCAAAACCATCAAAAAAGTTGAAAAAGTCTTCAGCGCCATATTCCTGGCCACTATTAAATGCTTCAAATGGATCACCAGAGAAATTAGGCACTCCTCCCGACCCGTCTGTGGTTCCATAGAGGTCGTATTCCTCTCTTCTGCCTTCATCTATTAATACTTCGTATGCACTGGATATTTCTTTAAACTTGATTTCGGCCTCTTCTCTGTCTTCCTCTGATACTTTGTCAGGATGATACTTCAATGCTAGCTTTCTGTAAGCCTTCTTGATCTCGGAGCTTGAAGCCTTGCTTTCCACTTGCAATACCTCATACAAATCTGGCATATTCAATTATTATTATGGTATAAGAGATGCTGGAGCGATGAACAGGATCTTCTAAAGATTTTTTTTTTTTTTTTCTTTTTGCCTCTTACATTTTTCATTCTCGATACTTCAACTTCCTGTATGTAAACAAAGTCGTTTAAAATGGTTTACTTCAGCTACTACGGCTATCATGCACCGTGTAGCCCAGTAGGGGTGAATCCTATGGTGGAAGAAGCACGCGAATATGTTAACGGCCATAACGGGATTGATTTCAGGCATCTCGTCAGCGAGAAAGGGTTCGATGAGTGATGAGTACTTAGAGCTCAAATTTTCGGGAGGATTTTAGAAGAGTTGAGTCCACATTTTCATTCGTTTACTTTTACTTGGTTGCAAGCAGTAGTCGTGATAATGAACACCTTCAGTAATATTTCTGTAAATTGATTTTTAAAAATCCTTTCATTTCTTTTTTTTTTTTTTGACATAAAAGCGTATACCTTACTTATATACTAACATGTACCTAAACAAGAAAAGACTAAATAATGAAGACTTAAAAATTCAGAAACCCTCTTGAATCACATAGTTACACAAGAGAAAAGCTGATCTTGTTCCAGAGGAACCATTTAGTTAAATATATATATTAGAGCCAAAATATAATAAGACACTAATTTTTCGCAGCCGTTCTTCGATGCCAAAACTCTTGTACTTTTAAAAGTATTAGGCGATGTTTGTTCGAAATATTATTAGGAGATCTTTGAATATATGAATTGCTCTGGTGGAATTTGGTGAAGAATAGTTGCAATATTTCTATATATCCTTGATAGGATTGCAGTCTAAGTGGACAAACACCTGATATTGTCGGCGAAAGGACTATTTACCCTTCAGCCACGTAAACTCTCAAATAACGCAGCTACTGGCTTATTCCTCACAGAGGATGAAATATTTGGGCGATCTTGCTATAAACAGAGCCTATCAAAGTTTTGGGGTAGAACTTCGAACACTTCTTTTCTTTGTTTGCAAGACACAGTTTTAATACCTTCTTTTGTATATCATGCATTTATTACGCTAAATGGTGCCAATAGGGAACGGTCTATGTTAATGACTTGGTGACTGTAGCTATTGTTGATTAATACCAAATTTCGAGAGGTTGTTCTTTCTTTTAAACCAGCAAGATGCCCTAGTCGGTTCCATTAACATTAAAATCAGAATAAAGACTTTAAATTATATTTTAAATATCAAGCTTCTCGAGTATACTCCTTATAATGCTAAACCTATCGACTCAGTCTTTTTTAACATGAACAAGCATGTAGACTAGTTATGTAGTAATAAAAAGAAGTTTTGACAGATAGAGTTCCGAAGGAATTGATTACATTAGTTTATTGAAAACCGAAATATAATAAGATGCCAATTTTTCGCAGCCAATCTGCTGCGCAGGCAGTCTTATTGACATGCCATGTTAATTATCAAAGGGCCTGTTCCTATGAAAAAACGAAAGTCGATTCTTATTTTCAGATTAAAGTACTCTGATATCAAAAAATTTGTTAGACACAAGGGGCCGTTCACTGGCCAGTAGAACTTAACTATACTTGCAAAATTACCCCATGTACTTGGTTGAGTTGGAAGGGTCCGTTTGTTATGCTGTTACCAGGAAATCGAATCACTTTGCAGAACTAACGCCCGAGCTTGAGCTCAAGTGCCCAGAGTTTAGAAGCCAAGGTGAATGCTGTTTTAACTTCAACCGAAAAATAGAAAGTTTTGATATGTTTCCAAATCTTTTTCCACTTACCTACGGGCACGAAAAAAAATTCAGTGGACATTTAGTCTCCTCATCTATGGGTGACTGTCTTTATTGTGCAAAAATTAAAGCCTCCAGATGGAAATTTCGATAAATTTCAAAACAGTGGTACTTCAAACCCCAACTGAATTGTGATCTGGCGTGGTTTCAGATTTTGGGTAATGTACGAATGTAAATGGTGTAGTGGCCGAGTGGTTAAGGCGTCGGGTGCAGGTCCCGATGGGTTTTACCCGCGCAGGTTCAAGTCCTGTCTGCACCGGTATTAATTTTTTTTTGCCAATTCAAACCTTTGATTCCTCTTCCTTCTCGAGGAACCAAGGAGTTAAGCATTGCTGGAGGTCAGGGGGTTTAGACTCCATTGAATACCACTGCGCTCTTTTTATTGTACAAAAGGTGGGGACGCACCAGAACGATCGCCAATCGGATTGAGCCAGGCCAGACCAATACTCACCAATTGGAAGAGTGGCCGATTATGATTGCGCATCATTAACCGTGAAGAGACAATTGCTCGACCCGGTATGCGATTACACAGTGCCACGTTGAAATGAATATTTGCTTTGTTGGTTGTTTGGCTTTGAGCAAAGCAATTGCTGCTTTGTCTATGGGAATCTTTTTTTTGGGGGGGTAGACTCCGAGTCCGAAATCTCTCCTCACAGAAAAGTATAAAATGGTCAGAAATGTAGCAGTCTTGCCATCACTTATTCTGGCCCTAATACCAATACCTACTATCAAGATGACTGATTCATTCCCGGTTGACGTTCAATTACCATATTTATCTATCGACAACGAAAGTCAAGGTCCAAGCAAGCTTGACTTGAAGAAAGAATTGTCCGGTAAGAAAGTTGTTGTTGTTGGAAACATCGGGTCGTTTACACCACCATGTCTGAATGACCACATCAACAAATTTGTTGATAATGCATCCAAGTTCAAGTCCAAGGGAGTTGATAGAATCATTAGTCTCAATATTAATGATCCTTTTGTTAACAATGCTTGGGGTAAGAGTTTAGGAGTCAAGGACGACTACATTGTGTTTGCACAAGACCCCAATGCTCAATTATCGCAAGAATTGGGTGAAAACTACGTTGCTGATATGAGTGATAACGGATTGGGCCAAAGAACCAACCGTTATGTGGCTCTTTTGGACAACGGTAAGGTCAAGTACTTGGCTGCAGAAGACCACGGGGCCACCACCGACATTTCCTCTGCCCAAAACATCTTGAACAGATTGTAAGTGCTTACATAGTTTAATGAGAGAAATGATTATCTAGGATAAAAGTAGCATAAATGTAGTGAAGAGGGAAAGGTGACTGCAAAATGAAGTGATTGCAAAAAGCCTCCGGGTAAGCAACGACGTGTGCGCATCAAAATGTGAGGAAAGAAAAAACAACACGATAACAAAAAAAAAAAAGAACAACTCGGACAACTCGATTATCGATACAATTGAGACAATCCTTGCTCTTTTTTCTTTATTGGAATCTTGTTTTTCAACTTCATCAAAGTAGAATACTTTTTATATTGGTACAATGGTATGTTACATTGGTTTTCCCATTGGGTTTTGGATGGAGAAGTCAATTGATTGATTGATTGAAAGCCCCCCTATGCTTTGACGGTTTTCTATTTGGCGTTTTAGTCTGTTTTTTTTTTTTCCAAGTTTTTCAAATACTAATACTTTAATAGTCTAGATCCGGGTATGTCTTTTTTTAATTATTATTTATTTATTCAAAGGTAGGGATGCATACTAACGAAAGGTTGTAGTGTTGCCGTCGCTGACGAATCTTTAACTGCCTTCAATGATTTAAAATTGGGGAAAAAATTCAAATTTGTTATTTTCAAATTAAACGATTCTAAAACCGAAATTGTTGTTGAAGAAACTTCAACTGATAGTGATTATGATACTTTCTTGAGTAAATTACCAGAAGCTGACTGTAAATACGCCATTTATGATTTTGAATATGAAATTGGTAGTGGTGAAGGTAAAAGATCCAGAATTGTTTTCTACACTTGGTCTCCTGATAATGCTCCAGTTAGATCTAAGATGGTTTACGCTGCTTCTAAAGATGCTTTAAGAAGAGCCCTTAATGGTGTTGCTGCTGACATCCAAGGTACTGATTTCTCGGAAGTTGCTTACGATACCGTTTTAGAAAAAGTTTCCAGAGGTCCTGGTCTCCACTAGGCTGATTGACCTATTTATATTCTTTCTCCAAAAAATTACTTACACTTTATAAATGTGATATTCATGTCTGCCAATGTTGTAATTTGTAAATGTAATGATCTACTGATTTTTTTTTTTTTATTTTATTTTTTTTTTTGTTTTTTCAACTCCTTCCTCACCTTAATTCACTTTTCGAGGAGTTCCTTACATACCTTGCTTGTCCTCCACTTAATATCTTATCCTTGTTATCCAGTGTAGAAGCTACCACTTTGTTAAGTTGTATTTTGGGCTGTTGATTTTTTTTTTCCCTTCTTTTTTAGCTTTTCCACTTACTTTTTTCTATCTTTTTTTGTATCTTTTGCTAAGGCACTGTAATTTTTTCAAAAATTTTTTTCTTCTTTCAATGATTCTATCATTAAAACTTGTGATTTAGTTTTTCATAATTATCTTTTATACCTTGAGAGATTAACAATTGAATAACTACAAGACTAACGACCCATCCCACAACTCTTGTCTGTTTTCCTTCCTATCGTTTCAATAGAATAGTGTGTTTAGCAGAAATCAAAAGTGAAAAATTAAAACCCAAAACCCTATTCCCCTACGGTGTATGTTTTCTTTCTTTTGCCCAAAAGTTTAAAAACTGAATTCGAAGACTAGACCCATTCGGATAAGTTTTTTCCTGTTGACTGTGGTGATAAAGAGGAAGTGAACCGGTTGAAATATCTCTTGTCTACTCTTAATTCCCCCTTGATACCTATTGGGGTTATTATAAAATCCTTACATCAAAAGTTGAACTCTGATCTCCTTACAGAAGAAACTTAACCTCTCTATTGTTTCAAAAGTTTCAGATTTCTAATTTCCTCTATCTTTCCTCCTCTGTTTTTTGTTTTTTCTAAGAGTAATTTGGGAATCGAGCAGACAACTTCACAAACAACAAAAAAAAATTTTAATAAAAACTTTTATGAAATATAAGGTTTTTAATAGATAAAAATTTCAAAAAAGAAAGAATACTTTGTTCAAATATAAATTGCCGGAGTCGAGCTTTCACCTTTGATATCATCAAGCCATGGCTCCAGTTAAGCTTCCAAGAGCTACTCTAGAGCAAAAAATACAAATTCTAGATCATTATCATCGTTCAAATCGACCTCAGCTGGAAACTGTTGATCATTTTAGAAATGAGATTTCAATATCGACGTCTTCATTCAGTGAATGGTTGAAAAATGAAGACGAATTAAGGGATCGTTTAAATCAAGCTGGTGCATCATCATTTTCTAAAAATAGTAGAAGAAAAGTTAAATTTAAATATGAAAAAATCAACCATGCAATGGATATGTTAGTGAAACAGAAACTAGAAAGACATGAACCAATCAATGAACCTATCTTAAGAGAACATTGGTCAATATACGCTCATCAATTTGGTGTTGAAGACCCAAAAAGATTGGCTGGTTTTAGTCATGGTTGGCTTTCTCAATTCAAGAAAAGACATGGTCTTAATAAAAAAAGATTGGTTGGTGATGGTTCAAGCTTAAACGGTACTACTTCTCCAACTCCTTCAGGTTCCTCCACTAGTCTTGCTCTTTCAACTGAAGATAGTCCAAGTCAAGGTTTGGTAGGTGTTGGTATCAATACGGTAAATGTAATGGATGGTCCTCCTCCTACTACTACAACCCATGATTCTACTAATGCAAATACTTATGATTTTGGTAGAAATAATTCCAATACGTCGAATAATTCAAATAACTCAAATAATAATTCTCAAAATCCTTCTAATGATAATAATGATAAACACCAATTGACCCATAGAATAACTAGATCTGGTAGATCTTCCAAGATTAATAATGTTAATAATTCTCGTACTCATGATTTCACCTCTTCCAATTTAAATAATGCTTCACCTAATACTTTTGATTTAATGAATCCTCAACAATCAACATCTACTCCTTCAAATAATGGTACTTCAAATGCTAATTCCTCGACAAATGGTAATAGCGTCATGAATACTTCCGGTAATCAGTTCCGCCCTCAAGAAGGTCTTAGTTTTAATGGTCCATCTCATTTAAATTTTTCAAATTATGGATTATACCAACCACTGCCCCAGAGATCACCTAGCCAACCTCCCAATACTTCCCAGCATCAATCACTGCAGTCCCAACAAAGCCCGTTCGGTAATGCTGATGTCACTACTACAGGTTCAGGCTCAACTGCGTATCAACAACAATTAAGAGCTCATTACGAAAAACAAAAACATCAATATGAACAACAACAAGCTGCTCAACAAAAAGCTGAACAAGTTCAAGCTCAACAAGCTGCCCAAGTCCAAGCTGCGAAGGCACAAGCTCAGGCACAAGCTCAGGCTCAGGCCCAAGCCCAAGCCCAAGCCCAAGCTCAGGCAGTCCAAGCAGCTCAAGTTCAAGCAGCTCAAGCTCAGGCTCAGGCGCAAGCTCAGGCTCAGGCCCAGGCTCAAGCTCAAGCTCAAGCTCAAAATCAACGTCAAGCTCTAGCACAGCAAGATTCTCTGCAATCTCTGCGTCACCATCAAAGGCATACCAGGTCGGTCACCAGGAATAACATGGCAAGAACCTCAACCTCGAATTCAGGAGCCTCGTCGGCATCCCAGACTAATAATTCAGCTAACTTGGGCCAAGGGCTCGAATCTAGCTCCAGTATTAGTGCAACTGATATTGAAAGATTTATTTATATGTTTGCTGATAAATTTTTCCGGGATCATGAATATGAGTATCCTCAAACCATTAAAGTTTTCCAAGAATTCAAGAATTCATTTTTCAATGAAAGAATCATTAATGTGAGGTCTGTTCAGCAAATGCTTCACAGCAGACTCCAGTATCAAATAGACCAAATCACCAACATCAGGCACATCAACTGCACCTGCTGCACCAACTGCATCTGCATCTGCATCTGCAACAACAACAACAGCAGCAACAACAGCAGCAGCAACAACAACACTTACAACAGGTTCAGCAACAAATGAATGGAATCGACGAATTTTTCTTGAGAGCCGCCGTCGGCTCTCAAGACGTTGATCCAAGAGGAACATTGAGTCGGAATGTCTCATCCATGTCCAATAGTGGATTAAGGTGGTTCTTCGG